TTTCCCAACATGGCATCCTTCACCAAAGCTCGTGTCCTGACACACCCCAACAAAACGGAGTTGCGGAAAGAAAAAACCGACATCTCCTTGAAGTTGCTCGGGCTCTTATGTTTACCACGAGTGTTCCTAAATATCTTTGGGGAGAGGCAGTTCTCACTGCCTCGTATCTGATAAATCGAATGCCATCTCGCATTCTGAAATTTCAGTCTCCTCTTTCTAGTCTTGTTCGTATCTTCCCTTCCTTCTGAGGTGTCTCCTCCTTACCTCTCAAGTTATTTGGTTGCGTTGTATTTGTCCATATTCCCCCCATCAACGGTCTAAGCTTGATCCTAAGTCTCTTCAGTGTGTCTTTATTGGTTATTCTCCTACTCAACGTGGCTATAAATGTTATTCACCCTCTCTTCGTAAGGTCTTTGTCTCTATGGATGTCACTTTTCTGAGAATGACCCTTTCTTCCCCTCAACTTCTCTTCAAGGGGAGTCTATAGGAGTAGATGAAGATCAGTCATGGGAACCTACTGATGCCACGGTATTACCTCTATTTTTGGAAACAGGGGAAGCTACAGAATCCTCACCATCAAGAGCCTCCTCAAAATGGGGACAAGTTTATAGCAGGCGAAAGCCTCCTCAAAGTGTGAATAACCCAGAGCCTCTACACTGCCAAGATTCTGAACCATGTTCTAGTTCCAGCACCCCAATACTTGAGTGTCATGGTGAAAATGATCTACACTTGCCCATTGCTCTCAGAAAAGGTCCTCGATCTTGTACTACTCATCCTATTTCTAATCATATTTCATATGGAAAGTTGTCCCCAGGGTTTCGTGCTTTCAATACTATGTTGGATAGTACAAAGATACCGAGAAATATACATGAGGCTCTCAATGATCAAAAATGGAGGGATGCTGTCTTTGAAGAAATGAATGCTTTAGAAAGAAATGGAACTTGGGAGATAGTGACCCTACCCAAAGGAAAACAGGCAGTAGGATGCAAATGGGTGTTTACAATAAAATTCAATACAGATAATAGCATCAACAGATACAAGGCAAGATTGGTTGCAAAAGGTTTCACTCAGACTCATGGGATAGATTATCATGAGACTTTTGCTCCGGTTGTTAAAGTCAATACCATCCAAGTTCTCTTATCTCTTACTGCCAATCTAGATTCGCCTCTGCAACAGTTAGATGTGAAGAATGCATTCCTAAATGGTGACTTACATGAAGAAGTCTATATGGATCTTCCACCTGGTTTTGAAAAGGGAAATGGATCAGTGTGTAAACTAAAAAAGTCTCTATATGGATTGAAACAATCTCCCAGAGAATGGTTCGACAAATTCTCACAAGCAGTCAAAAGAAGAGGCTTCATTCAAGCACAGACTGATCATACTCTCTTCCACAAACACTCTAAGGATGGTAAAATTGCTATTCTTATTGTATATGTAGATGATATAATTCTTACAGGTGATGATATTGAGGAATTGAACACCTTGAAGAAATTTCTAGCAACTCAATTTGAACTCAAAGACCTTGGCACTCTCAAATATTTCCTTGGTATGGAAGTTGCTAGGAGCAAAACAGGCATCACTCTAACACAAAAGAAATATGTTCTAGATCTTTTGTTGGAAACAGGAATGTTAGGGTGTAAACGTGCTGAGACACCTGTGGAACCTAATACCAAGTTAGGTATTGAAGATGAGAATGAGGTGGATAAAGAACAATATGAGCGATTGGTTGGTAAACTAATCTACTTATCTCATACGCGTCCTGACATTGCCTTTGCGGTGAGTATGATTAGTCAATTCATGCACTCACCCAAGGAGAAGCATCTTAGTGCAGTCTATAGGGTGCTTAGATACCTCAAGAATACTCCAGGAAGAGGATTATTCTTTAAAAAAAGGTATAAAAGGACAACTGAAATCTACACTGACGCAGATTGGGCAAGCTCATCAGTACACAGGAGATCTACCTCAGGCTATTGCACCTATGTGTGGGGAAATCTTGTTACTTGGAGAAGCAAAAAGCAAACAGTGGTTGCAAGAAGTAGTGCTGAAGCAAAATTTCGAGCTTTAGCTCATGGAGTTTGTGAAGGAATCTGGTTGAGAAGACTTCTTCAAGAGTTGAAGATTTCACATTCCCTGCCAATAAAACTATATTGCGACAACAAGGCAGCTGTTAGCATTGCTCAAAATCCTGTGCATCATGATCGAACAAAGCACGTGGAAGTTGATCGTCAATTCATCAAAGAAAAATTAGATGTTGGAAGTGTGCGTTTGATATATGTTCCAACCAAAGAGCAAACGGCAGATATCCTTACCAAGGGCCTACACCGTCCAGCATTCGAAGACTTGATTGGCAAGTTGGGAATGATCAATATTTACCTCCCAACTTGAGGAGGAGTGTAGAAAATCAGAATTCAAACATGTTTCCGTTTTTATTTCCTATTAATTAGGATTGATTATGATTGATTAGGATTGATTATGATTGATTAGAATTGATTGTGATTAGGATTGATTAGTCATCGCTTAGTCATTCTTAGCAATTCTTTCTTGTATAAATACTCACTCATGTAAATTATTCAATATATATATACAAAAACTTCTTTTCAATAGTATGCATAATTAATTTAGAAAGTATAGTTGTGTCAGGGAGGTGAGGGAGTCCATGACGGGGAATCATTATCAATGGGCTAAATTATACTAATCATACTAAGTTATTCAGATAATATGTCTTAAACTAAAACCTTAAGACATTGAGTTTATCGGTTGTTCTATTTATAAGGTTTTTACTTAACTTATTACCAACTAATATAGACTCCATCACACTTCAATATTCTAACAAATACAAATAATTTAAAAATAAATAAATTAGTAATTTAGTCTATCACTAACACAGTTTCATATATTATAAACTCCATCGTGAGCAGAACAACTAGCATCACATGTCTCATCTTGTAAACTGCACATCAGAAAACACCTTCATATATTGTAGTCTCATTTTAGGAAAACCAAACACACTGAGAGAATATGGAATCAAAGAAAATCCCAGAGGTAACACTAAACTCAAGGCAAAAGATGCCACTAATAGGCCTAGGAACTACAGCAGATACTCTTCCACCACATGAAGCTCTCACCTCAATCTTCATTGATGGCTTTGAAGTTGGATACAGACATTTTGACACTGCTTCTTTCTATAAAAGTGAGGAGTCTCTAGGCAAAGCTGTGGCAAAAGTTTTAGAGCTAGGCCTTGTAAAAGGCCGTGATGAAGTATCATCACTTCGAAACTATGGTGCATTGATGCACACCATGACCTTGTTCTTCCAGCTCTACAAACCACACTGCAGTTGAGTATAATCCTCTTCCCAAGTTTGTTAATTTCTCTATTTGTAATCTTCCTCTGGATGATGCTTGTTTTCTAAGTTTCCTTGAAACTGTTTATGAAGCTGGGGCAGGAGTGTGTGGATCTCTATTTGATTCATTGGCCAGTGAGGCTGAAACCTGGAGTTGAATTTTTTAAAATGTCAAAGGAGGATGTGCTGCCCTTTGACATAAAAGGAACATGGGAAACTATGGAAGAGTGCCACAGATTAGGTTTAGCCAAGTCTATTGGTGTCAGCAACTTTGGCATCAAAAAGCTCAACCAGCTCTTAGAAAATGCGACTATCCTTCCTGCAGTCAATCAGGTATGAGAATTTAGCAAAGGAAGCTTGATTTTGACACAGTGATGAACACTTGTTGGTGATCCCATTCAATTGGTTTTAGGTGGAAGTGAGCCCATCATGGCAGCAGGGGAAACTTAGAGAATTCTGCAAGGAGGAAGGAATCCATATGAGTGCATGGTCACCACTAGGAGCTTACAAAACTTTGTGGGGGTACAAATGCAGTGATGGAGAACCCAATCCTTATAGAAATCGCTCGAACAAGACAGAAGAGCGCGGCTCAGGTGCTCTTACCATCTCAGTCTTAAACTACCTGCATTATAACTTTAGTAACCATGAAGTTTTAAACTTTTAAGTAAAGGAGTAAACCAATAGGTCCATTTCTTTTTACTAAATAGATTTCTTTGCATATTTTCTTGTTTGATGAGAAAAATGATATTTTCTCCTTGTCATTCCACAAAGCAACAGTTCAAATTGAGAGTGTTATGGACCCTTCCTGGTCATGTTGTCCAATGCTTCACTTTTTTTTTTTTTGAGTAATCTCAATGGCATCCTCCAGCCGTAGCCGAAGATTAATCCCAACTCGAGCACTGTCAGACCTTTTCGGGGGCGGCTCTCCCCAATCCTTTTTTTCCATTCCCAGGGCTCGAACTCGAGACCTCTGGTTAAGGAACCTAGGCTCCTTACTGATGCTTCCCGACAAGTATACCGATCACACAAGTAATATAGAAAGTAAGTAGAGTATCGTCTCCACAGGGATTGAGTCGAATATCAATTAATATTCCTTTTAAGAATGAAAGGGTTCAAATGGTTTTCGACAAATATTGTCGATTTGTGTAAAATTGAGAACTGAAATAAAGACCTGTTTTTGTAATTTTTCTGTGATGAAGAATAAAAATAAGAACAAGAATGATTGATTTATAAAAATGAGAAAAACATTGTAGCCAGAGCGCACTCACCTTATGATCCCCACTTATTACTTTGGATTGATTTAAAAATATTCAATTATATAAATACTCAGATAATTATCATCTAAAATTAATTAGTTAAATTCCAATCCCTTGGCAATTTAACCATTTAATCTCAATTGGAATCCTAATCCCTTAGCAACCCCTCGTGAGAATTAAGCAATGAACACGATAATTCAAACATCTGCAATTCAATACACATCTATTCCTAGCATGCATACGAACCGTTATCCTACCCCCTTTCAGGATGAAAACCCCAATATTCCTATCTAGGGTTCTAACTCTCAAACTATCCTCAACCATCAGATTGATCAATTCTAATAAAGAGAATATAAATTTCGCACAAGGTAAAGATAAAGAACTTTATACAAATGAGTAGAAATAAACCAATCCGTCGTAACAAGGGTTCACATAGAGTTTGTGACCCTAACTACAATAAAAAGTAAACTAGCCAAACATAATCATGGCTAAAAATCCAATATTCATAAAAACATAAAGTAAAAGAGAAAGAAGAAGAAGAACAACAACAAGAATTTCTCTCTGGAGCTCTCCTTCTGACGCACGACGGTCTCCTTAGGTCCAGAATACCTAATTCTGTGCTGAGCCTCCTTTTTATAATCTTCTTTTTCATCTTCCAAAAGTTCCCTCTTGAAAAGCACGGGCTGTGATTTCCGCAAACTGGCGCTCTCAGTTCCACGCCAAGAGCGTGGTTGCCTCTGAATCATCACGCCATCAGCGTGAAAGAGCGTGTTACAAAGGATGGTTTCACGCCATCAGCGTGAACTCCACGCTATGAGCGTGGGAGTTTCTGGTTCTTCACGCCATCAGCGTGAAATCCACGCTATGAGCGTGGATCTTCATTTTGGCAAGTCTCCATTTGGCTCCAGTTTTGTTTGCTTTTCCTACAAAATCAGCATAAAGTCAGTTGAACAATCCTGGATTTGAAATTTCAGCAAAGCAACAATAAATGTTGCCTTTTTACTCAGGATTAGCCAATAATCTTCTTCTTTTTGGCTTGGCTTTACCCATATGCTGAAGGCATATCACTTATCACCTGTGCCAAAGGAATTTGGTAATGCTTCACTTATTAACATAAGACAAAACAGTAATCCCGATCGTATTTATGCATTAAATGTATCATATCACCAAAAATGATGATCCTAGTACCAAACACGGCAACCCCAGTCTTGAAATGGCCCCCATTACCAGGATTCATCACACACTCTATTCCAGTGTATAAGACACCTCAAATACACATGCAAAGGGTTGAAGACTCTCTTATATAGAGGTGGACCATAAGGTGGGGGCCGATGCATGAATTGAACAATTTGGAGTGAAGAATTGAGAACTCTTTAGGGCCTACGTTTGTTGGTCTTGGAGAGTGAGTCTCGGTCGTTTTCCTTAGTGTTTAGCTTGTTATTTTTTGCATATTTCACTGTTAGAGTGTCTTGTGTTTTTTACTATCAGAAGTTGTTTTCTTAGTTGTGTCTGTAATTGAAGGAAATAGTCTTTGTTCTGTCCGGTCCTTTTAGGCCCGATAAGTTCAACTCAATATTAATAGCTCACTTCTAAAACCTTCTAGAGGGTACCATATCATGAGTCACAGAGACTCATCGCTTGGGATTCTTCTTTCCCTGCATTGCTGCCCACTGTACACTGGCAGTGGGTGCAGCATGCCAGATCTCAAAGACAAGACTTGGCTAGGTGGTATAACTTTCATCATCCTCTCTCCCACACTTGAGAGTGACCTCTCCTCTCTATATACTCCCTTCTCCCATCGAAGGGGCATATTCTAATCTATTCTTCTTCTTATGAGCTGTTACTCAGCAAAATAGTAGAGCCACCATAGCCATTTAGGCATTTACACATTCCCCCTTTTTTCACATACAACACATAGGAAGCTCCAACATAGCCTTGGTACATACCATGGTTACTAAGAGTATCCCTAGATTGAGATACTATACCCTTTGAGGGATACATGTTTGACTCTACAAACACCAACAATTCAGTCTCCATTTTCAGTTTAATTCAATATCAAATTACTGATAACATCAAACACTCACTCTAGTAGTCTTCCCTTCTTCCTCCTCATGCAGCTCATCCTCAAAAACACTGATACTTATCCTCTACAAAGGCAGCAATATTTCATATCAGAATCCTTAAGATGTTAAGTAAAGCAACAGGCAACCTCATCATTAGTTGTACACTTGGGCTTAGCCTCTATGAAGTATACGTAAGAACAGGGAGAGACAAGTTGCCAAGTACATATGTGAAGTGTAACATTTCTTAATTTCAAATACTTTCAACCATTTAATAATAATAAAATAATTTGATTTAATAAAATAAAATAGTGTGAAGTGTAACATTTTTTATGTGGACATAATTTCTCATTTTGATAACTAGGTGGTTCACAAACAAATTACACAATTATGTTCATCAAGGGCAATATCATTGTCATGCAGGTAGCACTAAGATGGATATACGAGCAAGGGGCAAGTGTCATTGTGAAAAGCTTCCACAAGGAGAGGATGAAACAAAACCTTGAAATATTTGATTGGGAACTGGGCCAGGATGAATCACAGAAAATCAGCCAGATTCCACAGCGTAGGATGTTTCCAGGAGAACAATTTGTATTAGAAAATGGACCTTTCAAGTCCTTGGAAGAACTATGGGATGGTGACCCCTGAAATCAATCCTAGTAGCAGCAAAATGTCATCAAATATATGTATGTGCACAACTTCATAACCATGGCATGGATTTATCAATATTTCCAACCAATGATATGCATGTAGTTGAAAAGCCCGCAAAGTTAGTTTCCAAGTTATTCTTTATTCAACTGTTGATTGGCTTTGCACTTAAGGATACTTTAAGGTTTATGCTATGTCGTCGTATTTGACTTAAGATTTAGATATTATATGTTGGCATTTAGCAGTGAAAAACTTCAAAGTGTTATTAAATATTAACTATCAACAACTTTAAAATAAAAAACAAGAGTAATGTAATGCCAACAAAGTGATGAGCAATATTTTATCAATCAAGCTGTGCAAGAAAAAACGTTGGAAGAAAAACTCTTATGTTTTGATTTAATGACGAGAAAAGGAAAATATAAGTAATTTATCGTCAAAGAAAATATGTTTGTCATTGAAATACTAGCTTAAACCCTTTTTTTTTCTTTCAGTTTTCAGGTTTAAAACACTAGCAACTTTCTTTTTTTTTTTTTTTGGTAAAGGAGAGTGCTTGACAATGAGAATTGGCATATCTAATCCAACATTTTGCCCACGTTATAGGTGGTTTAGATTCGATTCTAAGATTTTTCTCTTAGTCTCTGGTCTTGTAAGCTGTGTCTTCTTCTAATCTAAACTTTTATCTAAATAAACAAAGGGTGCTTAATTAATGAATTAAATACTCCTTCCCTCATTGTTCATATCTTAGGAAGGAAGAAGCAAAGTATTATTAGATAAAATATTGTTATCTGATTTGTGGAATGTCAATGCAGGGATATGCTTTAAGCCTTAGGGAAGAAAAAAATATAATTTTCATTCCTTTTTCTCTTTCAGCATCTCTATCTATTGACTTTAAACATAACCAGATGTCAGAGTACCACAATTATATTATATCATATTCTTGTTATTGAACTTTAAATAGAATAACAGAAATTAATAATCCAAAATACTCAATGCACGTATTCAGCACCACATAGTTGACTAAACAGAGTTTATAGCCGTCCTTACACATCATCTGATAATAAACGTTCACTAGTAAGAATCAAACTCTATTCTTTTGTTTTATGTTATTCAAGGCCAGTTAATTAAATATTCATAATCTACAAGTTGCCAAGAATATGGCTTAATTGAACAAAGATCAATATAGAATATGAAAATTATTTGTCTTAACAGCTGTAGAATGTGAATATGTTGTGCCTCTAGTTGAGTTGTCTCTATCCAAAGTCTAAAATAATAAAAACTTAGCCAATTACCAGAATGATGGGTAGATTGAAGATAGAAATTCAGACCGAACATCTCTCATCTCGCAAAGTGAAAATCAGAAACACCATATATTCTAGTCACATTTAACATAGACTAAACACCCTGAGAGAATATGGAAGTAAAGAAAATTCCAGAGGTGATACTATGCTCAGGGCAAAAGATGCCACTGATAGGCATGGGAACTGCACCAAATCCTCTTACACCACAAGAAGCTCTCATTTCCATCTTCATTGATGGCTTTGATGTTGGATACAGACACTTTGACACTGCTTCTCTCTATGGAAGCGAGGAGCCTCTAGGAAAAGCTGTGGCAAAGGCTTTAGAGCTAGGCCTTATAAAAGGCCGTGATGAAGTCTTCATCACTTCAAAACTTTGGTGCACTGATGCACAACATGACCTTGTTCTTCCAGCTCTAAAAACCACACTGCAGTTGAGTATAACCCTCTTCCCAAGTTTGTTAATTTCTCTATTTGTAATCTTCCTCTGGATGATGCTTGTTTTCTATGTTTCCTTGAAACTGTTTAGGAAGCTGAGGCTGGAGTATGTAGATCTCTATTTGATTCATTGGCCACTGAGGCTGAGACCAGGAGTTGAATTGATTAATATATCAGAGGAGGATGTGTTTCCTCTTGACATGAAAGGAACATGGGAAGCTATGGAAGAGTGTTACAGATTGGGCTTAGCCAAGTCTATTGGTGTCAGCAACTTTGGCATCAAAAAGCTCAACCAGCTCTTAGAAAATGCCACTGTCCTTCCTGCGGTCAATCAGGTATGAAAATTTAGCAATGGAAGATTGATTTTGACACAGTGATGGACACTTGTTGGTGATCCCATTCAATTGGTTTTAGGTGGAAATGAACCCATCATGGCAGCAGGGGAAACTTAGAGAATTCTGCAAGCAGGAAGGAATCCATGTGAGTGCATGGTCACCACTAGGAGCATACAAAACTTCGTGGGGTTCAAATGCAGTGATGGAGAACCCAATCCTTATGGAAATAGCTCGTGCAAGACAGAAGAGCGTGGCTCAGGTGCTCTTACTATCTCAGACTTGAACTACTCCGCATTTTAACTATTGTCACCATGAAGTTTTAAACTTTAAATAAAGAGTTTAGTAAACCAATAGGTTGGTTTGTGGGAACGTAAATTCATGTAATCAGTCTTTTGCAAATGCAAGATAAGGCTATCTAATATAAACCCACACAATAGGTCTGAGCATTTCCAAGACCTATGTTGAGAGCTTAATGGCATAGGATTGATCCAGTCTAGCCGAATAAGGCCACAAAGACATTAAAACTTTTCCAACAAAGTTTTTAACACAGCTGCGTACCCAGGACTCGTACTCGAGGCCATTGGTTAACCTCGAACAACCCCATGTCATCGATCGACATGATGGTTGGCTGTGCTTTATTTCTCTGAATGTTTTCTTGTTGGATGTGAAAAATGCTTTTAAGAAAAAGTTATAGAGATCACTTGTAAAAGTACAGAGTTAAGCAGGATTTTTTTTCTCCTTGTTATTCCACAATGCAACGACTCAAAGGGGGAGAGACAATTTGCCAAGTACATATGAAAAGTGAAACATTTTTTTTATTTCAATCAATCAATAAAAATAAACCTGTGTATGGTACGCGCACAATCTTTGACCATTCAGAAAAAGTTTCACAGTTTCACCGGGACTAAAGTAATGACTTGCACGAGAGTATGTAAAGAGTGTGTGAGTGTATCGTTACTCAAGTTATAAATAAGAAATAATGTTGTATGGAGTATCCGTTTTTTATTTGGGCTTAATCTCTCATTTCGATAACCTGGTGGTTCATAAACAAATTATACAGGTAGCACTAAGATGGATATACGAGCAAAGGACAAGCCCCATTGCGAAAAGCTTCAACAAGGAGAGGATGAAACAAAACCTTGAAATATTTGATTGGGAACTGAGCCAGGAGGAATTACAGAAATTGAGCCAGATTCCACAGCGTAGGACAGTTACTGGAGAACAATTTGTATCAGAAAACGGGCCCTTCAAGTCCTTGGAAGAACTGTGGGATGGAGAACCCTGAAATCATTTCTTGTAGCAGCAAAATGTCATCCAAATATATGTTTGTGTATAACTCCATACCCATGGAGTGGATTTATCAATGTTGCCAACCCATTTAATGGGATAAGATTTGGTTATTAACTTGTTATGCCTGTTTTGTTGTATTGTTAGTAACTTTTCCTAAACGTAAGTAACTAGGATCTATCCATCAAAATATTCATAGTGAAGGAGATTAGTCTCTAATAAAAACTCACTTCATTCTGTCCTACTCTTGATAATTTAGAGGTACACCATATCTTGTGCTATTGAATATTATTTATAGATGGGAGTGTATCCTCTAGTGTATTATTTAACATAATCCTGTCATGTAAGAGAATTCTAAAAGTGAATGAATGGTGATAAGGGAAGAAAGAGGAAAAAATATTAGAATATGAATTTATAAAATCATCACTTAGGTATTTCTCTTCCGAAAGGAGGTGCCATAGTTTGCAGCAAGGGCTTGTAGTTTTATTTCAGGGAAGAAGTGTGAGTTTCTGTCACTGAGGTTTTGTATCAAATAGATTGTGAGCAATGAAACAAATATCACAAAAAACAGTTGTTGGCTTCGATCATTCAAGCTCTAGGTTCCATCCCACATGATCATGCTAATTGCTCAAAGTAAATAACACTGTAATATCATGTATATATGTTTCATCAAGTGAATTATCAAATGAAATTAAACCAAATCAAGAATTCATACATATTAATATAGAACCATCAAAATCAAAATCAGCATCATACACAAGTTTAAATAAAAGAACAGAATGAATAGCAATCCTAAAATTCATCAAACAGAAAAGAACTGTGTTAGTGTTACCGTTTGCAAGGTGAAATATAAACCACCGCTTAAAAAAAACAAATAACCCTTTCTGTTCTTTCACTTCAAAAGCGATAAACTCCTATCCCAATATATAACATACTTATGTGGTGCCAGCGGTAAAAAAAGAAAAAAAAAAAGAAAAAAAAAAAACAATGATGAAAGTGGAGTTCTTTTAAAAATTACTCATTAATAAGTCTGCCAATAAATATTTTTGTTTGAAAATTACAGTATATGTTAATTTTTACGACATTTTAAGGATTTAAAGTTTCTTGTTGGAGATACTTATCTTGTGAGATCTTTCGGGAGGGGCCGCTTTAATTGATACTAAACTCTAACTTAAGATTAATCTCATTCGTAATTGGCTCAAAAAGTTAAGTTTATAAAGAAATCCGAGAGGCCGACTTGCCTCAAACAAGTAATTAAAGAGATCATGTTAGGAAAATAAAGAGAAAAAAATATTTGAAGCTCATATACTTTTATGTGAATATATAAAAATAATTATATCTCTATCAACATAAAAAAAACTTTAAACCAATGTTTTAATATAGCATAACATAAAACTCCTGGTGTTTAAAACAAAATATCTGATGTAAAAGTTTTATAAAATACGTATGACTAGCGGTGTAAATAGGTTAGGTTAAGCTAGGCTAGGTTTTGCCTTAAATAGGCTAGATTTGTGTTAAAAACATTTAATCTGGCCTGACCTGTTAGCCTGTGTAGGCCTCGAAATATAAGTCTGGCTTGACTTATATTTAAAAAATAAAAGTTTTGGCCTAAGCCTGTTAGTCTGTTTAAACCTATTAAACATTCAACAATTAAAAGAATAATTAAAATAATATTTCTTTATTATTCAAAATAATTAAAATAATAATTTTATTTATATTTTTAACATAAATAATATAATATATGCCGGCTTGTAGGCTAATATGCCCGACATGTACAAAAAAACTTATGACTTGTTTTCGAAATAGATTTTCTTAAAAGCCTAGGCCTGTTCTATTTTACTATTTGTAATAGGCTAAGTCAGGACTAATATAAGTGGGGCCAATTACACCCCTACGTATGACCAAATGCTTATATGAACAGTTCAAAATATATAGGATCAGATAATTATTCAACCAACATTACAAATGATCTTGGAGACCAAGGTCACAAGATCGAACATTACAAATTAGAAGTCAAATCGAATCGATGACACAATTTAAGGTGACCAAAACTTTCACACGCAATGTTGGCCTTGTTTGTGTAAGAATTGCGCAAGTATATCCAATCACAAGTAATTTAGGGTCTTTGAATCTCAGTTATCGTTCTCACAAAGATCTTGTCAATGTGAATTAATTGCAAAAATTATAAATGCTCAACTGAATAAAAATTAAAATTATCCACAAGAGGAAAGAAAAATGACAGTATTGTAAACTATGAATTTTCTTGAATTTTTCTAAGTTACTTTTTGAACTTTGGATTTATGTGTAAGAATTCTGGAATAAAATATATATATATATATATATATATATATATATATATATATTTAAACTGCAGTAAGGAAAATGTTGGACAAGTGGCTTCAATACTCAAGAGGGGGTGAATTGAGTTTAACAAAATCTTTTCGCAAAGTTCTTCCTTTAAAATTTTAAAGAGTGTTTCTTCAATAAAGTGATTTAATAAGAAAAAATCCAAGTGCGAGAGAAAGTGTGTGATCAATAAAGTAAGCAAGCAAATAGATAAACACAATCTAAAAATCCAATTTCAATACTAAAGTAAGGAGTTTAAGGTTAGAGAAATTGCAAACTAGATGTATCCTAGTTCGGTCACCACCACCGTGACCTATGTCCAGCCTGAAGTCGCTCGATCAAATTTTTTCACTAACTATCAAGCTTTGAGGGTGCTTGACAAACCACTACAACCTTTCAAGACTTCGGGCTCTTGATGCCTTACAATTTTTTTACTCCAAATTTTCTTTGGAATTTAGTGACCTCTCAAGTGTAAAGGGTTCATTCCCCTAACTATTTAAGAAATCAAATGGATGTGTTTAACAATGGCTACGTACTCTCAAAGTACAAATTATCCAATGGTGTTGACACTCTCACAAGAATGAAGCTCAAAGAGAATTTATGATCAAGAAGACAAGAATAATGCAAGTAGTATGATATAAATGAGTAATAATGATCAAGAAGTGTAGTAAAGTCAATGAACAATAATCTCTATTTATAGAGGGCCCTGTGGGTGTTTTCTACTCATTTTCACAAACTAGCCATTATTTTGTCTTCTGCACCGTTGTTAAGATATATTTGCAAAATTAGGCGCAGAAAGGCATTTATGTTACATGAAACAACTTTCCTATAAAGCACTTTATTTTGAGATAGAATTAGTTCGTTTGTTTAGATAACATGTTGTCCTCTTAATAATTTATTTGTGACCAACATACTTTTTCAGAAATTGGAACATCTATCGTGAAAATTGGTTCAATACTCCAATATCTCGGTTCTGGTACCAAATGTTTATATCTAAAAAAGCCAAAAAGAATTAATATTCTAATCAGAAGCTTATCTAAGAATGGCCTCTTAATTATGGGATAAAAACCAAAGAGGTTCCAAGCAAAGATAGCACTGAGCACTACTAGAAAAAACTTGTATAATTTGTGAGGAAATTTGTGACAAAAAGTAATAGTGACGATGAAATTAGTGACGGAATTTTCATAACAATTCCGTCACTATACAAGTTTTTTCTAGCAGTGGAGAATTTTTTTGAATATGAAATTCTTTCTATAATCTTTTTTTTGGGAGGGGGGGGTGTGGAGAGGGGGTTAATCGCAATGGTGTTGCTTCACTCATTTTCTGATTATCCACTTGATTATCTAGATAGTGGTTGTTTTGGATTTGGATGCTAGCTCTATGTGCAAGTATTCTATCTGGTACTAGTTTTTCTAATGGTCCAATTTTTCTTTGGCATGTGGTCATTTGGGCTGTAATCCATTTAGTAGGTTCAGTTATCTTATAAGAGTTATCCCCCCCCCCCCCCCCCCCCCCAAAAAAAAAGTTCTCTCTTATTTGGGTATGGTTCAATTAAACTTATCAAGTGGGTTTTTTGACTTGCATGGTTACGACCCAATCTACCTTAACAAGTCCATAACTCACATTTTCAAACCCAAAATGTAATTAAGTACTTTACAGGTTCAGGTCTTTTCCAATTGCGCTTTCTTTATTATAGATGTAAATATTAAATGGAACAGTTATTCCTTAAGACAGTTTCTAACCCCTGTTCTCCTTGGATCTCATTCTCTCTGTTCCAAGACAAACATTAGACATCACCTATATATACCATCAAAAGCATAAGTGATAACTGTCACAAGACATTATATTTTTAATTCTTTGAGTAGTTAGGGCGAGACGGAACCAATGAGTTCTTGAACGCTATTTGCCTTTCTTATAATTTATTTGCATGATTTAAAGTTATGCATTAACATATGAGTCGTGCATGACAATATGGATTTTGGTGTATCGATTCTAATTGGTTGATTGCTGGAATTTGTATGATCTAGGGATAGACTTATGAATTCTATAACTGTATGTTCTTGTGTTAATGCTTATTTTGTGAAAAAGTACTAAGGGATTAGACTTTTGAGCGGCGTAAAAGATTAGATTACCAAGAGATTGAAATTTAATTGAATATAGAAAGAACATTTAATAACTGGATCTTAAATGTAATTATAAGAATAGGCAAACTAGTTTGGAAACTGTTAGTAAAGTTAAGTCCTAGCTACGTCTTTTATAAAAACTTAAATTCAATTTTCTAGCATTTATTAATTTTGAATTTAATTTCTTGAATATTGAAAATTAAAAATAAGTAGTTTAAAATTCTGTTTTAATTAAATTAAAATATTCTCAAACTAACATTTTACGATCGATCCGACTTTAGTTAAATAGATAAATTAGTGCTTAGTCATCAATCCTCGTGGGATCGACAACTTAATTTTATTACTTTATTACTTGTACGACCGGTGCATGCCGAAATCGCAACAATAAACATAAAAGACTGTTATGGAAGTTCCACAGAGATACGTTGAAAATCTTAAACACACTTGGGGACTTCTGTTCTTGTATTCTACTACATAGTTTGTTCCGGTATTAATTTTTAAGTCATGAAAGAATAAAAACCCTGTGGATAGTTTATTGAGGTTATATATATATATATATATATATATATATATATATATATATATATATATATATATATATAGGGTTTTATAAGAGTTATGTTGTAGGAAAAATGATTATGTAATGTTATAGAGATTCGTTTTGCGTGTCGTAATTTTCTTTTTTCTTCAAAATGTGTGGGCCCCACAAAATGTTGTGTGTAGAAAAGTTTGTTGTGTCATCTTAAATGACAAATGCAAATCCCATATATATATATATATGAGGTAGGATATTTTGACATCAGTGTCAAATTTGAAATTTGACATCTCATCTGAGAGCCGTTAGATCAAAAAAGATCAATGGTCTCACACTTGCAAATTAGAGTCGTTGATCTTTTTTGATCTAACGGCTCTCAGATGAGGTGTCAAATTTTAAATTTGACACTAGTGTCAAAGGATCCTACCTATATATATTCTAAACCAAGACTTTTTGGTCAAGGAAGCAAACACTTTTATGATGGAATACTGCCAAAAATAACAAACCAATGGAGTTTGCTATATAAGTGGTCACAATGTAAATATGCCAAAAATTCCATTGTGCATTTCATACAAGAAATGTCACCATTTTATCATCGATAATATCTCTTGAAATGTTCATTGAAATGGTCCACAGAGGTAGTGCATTGAGAGCATGAAGCCGGCCATTGTGAATAATTTAAGCTGCAAACTTAAATCCGTTGTCAGTTTCAAAGTCTTAAAGCAGAGTCCTATAAGGTAGTGTTTGGTTGGGGAGAAATTTTTTAATACTAAAAAAATGTAAATACTAGGGATATGCAAAAATGAGTTATAAGAAAGTTTTAAAAAAGTTGTTTGGTTGAACAAAATTTTACCAGAAAAATTGAATTAAATTTCTGAATGTATGTTTGG